ACCACTGAGCTTCTCCATTTTCTGTTCGACTCCACTTTTAAATGTCCTTTCTTCTTCTATTCTTCATCCAAATGGGCAGCCAAGAGACAGCAACCAAAACCGGCGCACGAATATGCGTGGTTAATGGTTGTACAAACTGAAAAGTGAATTGTGTCGCTCAAAGCTTAAATGGTAACTGCAAATGCACGAACGATCTAGGTGAGCGGAATACGGGCAGTTTTCGTGATAGTGTGTACGTGAGTGCTTATTACAACCACCTTCCCTCTCCGTTACTTTTTACTACCTTTCGCGTTTGTTCTATCCCTAATTTAACTGTGTAAAGTGACGAAAGGACCGCCACGGCATTCAAAGATCAGCTGACGGCAATTGTTTCAAGTACAACCAGCCTAAACTCTGTCAATCCGGGTCACGAGCACAATGGATACAAACCGTGCTGTTTGATCCTTGACGAAATCGATGGTGCTCTCCCGGCCGCCGTGGAACTGTTAGCCTCAGCTGCAAAATGTACTCTACAAGCCACTGGAGACCGACGTAGTCGGAGCAGACGGAGCGCATCTCCACTCATTCTTCGTCGGCCTGTGATTTGCATCTGCAATGACCTGTAAGTCCCAATAAGTGAAACTTGTCTGAGATTGAGACGAATCGTTCACTACTTCACGGAATTATTACTTGTGTTTAATCACTTGTAATAAATTTAATTACACCACTACGTGTGATGAACAGCAGACGAAGCGGACCCTAAACACCCTGAGGACCTACTATTATTATTACGTATTTATGTAGTCAGTCGATTTCTTTTTAACACCACTGGACGCCTGAGAAAATGTTTGATGTTAGTGCGTACATACCCCACTTGTGATTTGTATTCTTTTCATCTATTCCATTACGATATCATGCGACCAATTCTTCAGATGCGATTTTAGTAAAATATTGTGAAAACTACTCTCCCTACAATTCCGGGTTCATTGGAGGAGCGGTGGTTAGTCAAAATTATTAGTGCGTATCCCATAAGACAATAAGTGTGAGTTGAAATGTAAGGTGACAGACACTGGCATTTGATTATTATTTTGTTTGATAACGTAAGTCAGTTTGATTTCCACTTTGCTCCATATACCGAAGCGTCACAAAATCGAAACCGTAAGATGAGTTTTCCGAAAAATATCAATATACGATTTATGTAAATATATTCATATATCGTAATGAGCAGCATATAAATGACTCAACAAAATTGCCCTGGAAGCACACAGTGGGTTTCGTGATTCTTTCCTCTCGTCAGACATGCGTATCCGGTTATCTTTTGTCAGTTTATTCATATACTTGTACCCAGAAAGTGTATTTTCGGCACCATAACCTCATTCGCAGCACCAGATAATTTTGGATGGATAACTCTTTCAGAGCAGCAAGAACCGCGAAACCGGTCGCGTGATTTCAAGGCAAATTCGTCGAGTCATCTAGATACTACTTATTACGAAATATTCTGTAAATATAGAGTATCAAGCTTGGATTAGCCCATTCGATTGTTCAGAGGCACCAGGCACTCTGTTCAGTGCTCTTTGTTGGTTGTCACAAACATTTCCATCGCATTTAAATGCGTACAAACAGTGGGGAATTAACGATCTCCCAAGGAGTGAAACCCACACCGAAAACCAAGGGTGTCTGGTGCCTCTGAACAATCGAATAGGCTAACCCAAGCTTGATACTCTAAATTGATTGAGCCACTCGCACAAGGTGATAACCGTCGGCGGTGTAACTCAGGGGTAAGGGTTTGAAGTCCCGACCCGACTGATCGCTGTTCGAGTCCTGACCGGGACACAAAAGGTACGCACTGCTGACGAGTCCCAAACAGGACGAAACAGCTGTCCAGTACTCTTTGTTGGTTATCACAAACATTCTGTAAATATGCTCAAGTAACGTTTTTTGCGGTTAGTAACATCTAACCCACCTGCAAAACATCGAATCATAGCATTGATTTTTCAGAGGACTGGCTACGAAAGAGCTGTCTATCCAAAAGTCACTCGATGTTGCGAACAAGATTATTGTGACGAAAATAGTCTTCCTAAGTACAAGTATGTGAATGAACTGACAGGAGACTACCGGATACGCATGCCTGGCGAGCGGCAAGAACCGCGAAACCGGTCGGGTGCTTCCAGGGAAATTCGGTCTAGTCATTCAATACTACTTATTATGAAATGTATATGTATGCAGTGTGTCCTGCACTCGTCTCTGAATGCTATTAGAAACCGTGCATACCACACTGCATGCTTGTTGGGTCGTTCACAATCACTCATGAATAACACAATAAAATGAAAACGGCGTGAGACACATCGCGTCCAAACACAAGTCAACACAGTACTAGCAGTACTGAGGATGAACGAGATACACAGATTGGACACTCACGGTCGACGTGCAAAATATCAGAGAGCGCAAATACAGTCGGAGATATAAAGTAGCCTCGAGCACTACAGAGCCACACAAGTCGTCTAGCCCCATGGGTAGGAAAATCAGAGCACAGATCGTACGCCATGAGCACTAGTAGCCTCCTGTCATATACGGAAAGTAAGAACATAGATGGACAGCAACGAACGTGTAACTGACACACCCAAAGCAATGTCAAATTTACGCTGTCAGATCGTGTGTTTGTACACTGTTCCGGTCTCTGGACAAAGAGACCTTGACAATTGATACAGAAAATGAGAAAAGTTACAGAACTTGGCAATCAACCCTGGGGGGTAAACGATTATGACCGAAATGTCTTCAAAAGAGATCTGAATTATAAAAAGAAAATCTAAACATATTCGGACAATAGGCAGTTATAGGTAAAAAAAAGTCCTTTTGCATAAAGTGCTTGAAATAAAGCAAACCAGAAGAAGCAACAAAACAAGTGCACATTTCAGTTGTGTGTACGAGCACGGTAAAACATTCTGATCTGCTCAAAATGGACAACAAGAGTGCCACTGTTGCTAACCTGTTGCCATGTCCTTCGATATCTTCATTCATTCAGTTGGTTTCACGGTTTTTCAAGTCCTAACTTGTGAAAAAAAAGATTTTCTATGATCTTGACCTAGTTTTCCTTACACCACCTCTATGTCTCATATCCTGATGTCCCCGTAGCTTCTTCCGTCGTAGAACAATGATCTTTAAAAGATTGTGGTATGCTAAGATAAATTACTAGACATACTTATTACGTCATAATTCATGTGTAACGTATATTGCCTTTAGTACTCGAGGGTTTATATTTCAATCACGCTATTTTAACTACAGTTTCTTCTATCATGCAAAACGACTACAAATTTAGTACCCCTTACAGTCTTACATCGGGGTAGTTTATCTCATTTGATTTATGCTACACTAGATTTTTGCCGCTATTCCCGAAGCACAGTCTCATGTTGCGTTGTATTTTGTTCTGTCTTCACTGTTTGTGATGGTTTCAGATGAGAAGCAAGCAAATGTTCCCATTGTCCAACGAGACATATACTGTCCATGTTCGATGGCTAATATCATCCAAACGCTACGACTGTTCAGTAAATTTTGTCTCACCCCAAAATCTGTGTTCAGTTTTGCAACTTCAGTGCGTCCGCTTCGTGCACCCGGTGTTCCCTGTTTAATACTACGCATACCTGGTGTTGACGTGGGCAGACTCATTTCTCGATTGGACTTGATCGCACGAAAAGAAGGACTCCCATCGGAGAAAATCGTGCTCACTCAACTGGCGGAATTAGCAGATCGGGATATTCGTGCTTGCTTGAATGCGTTACAGGTAGGAGTTGCGATTTTGCTTGTGAATATATACGTATATTCATCACAATCATCCAATTTGCAACAATGAGCTAAATTTGTTTGACCAGCTTTTTCAGAACCAATCTAGGGATGAATTAATACCATGATTCGATGTTTTGTCCTTGGATTAGATACCGTAACTGCAACCAACGCGACTCAGTGGTCTTTATTAAATGCTTTACAATAAGTAGAATGTGAATAGCATCGTGCACAAAGCAAAGGAACCATTAACATGAAAAGCCGGGAAGCACTGTACAACTGCACGCTCGCGCGTGCGTGCGTGAATCCACCGACCCAACTTAGGATCGACCACCCCTTGACCTCACAGGTAGAACACAATAATAGTACCACCCAAGTGATCACCGAACAGCTGTACCCCGGCAACTATTCCACTTCCACAATGTAGCTCAGCTAATCTGTGCGAGCTGGTTGCAAGCATTTGACCTCTCCCATTGTAGCACACGCCTTCAGGGTTATGACTTGGTTAAAACATCCCGAATATAGATAGCTACCGGTTACAAGTGTCATGACAATCGAGATGAGATGCCTGTAGCGAACTTGCAAAGATGGCTTGTGCTGTATCCTTTATAAACGGTCTGATCAGCTACTCAGTGGTGACATGCCTGCGTTCTACTTGTGAAGGCCCCTTGGTTCGATCCTCAGGTTGACCTATTGTTTCATGTTATAATTCTATGCCCAGTAATACTATTACTGGGTTGTTGTTTCCTGTTTTGATAACTTTATTTGCCAATTTGGTATTGATTCTTGTCCATTCTTCCGTTATGCAACATTCACAGTTTCTTAAAAGTCGTTGCACTCAGGCTTCTTCGAGTTCCGATGCCACGCACGTCTCATTAGATGATTTGACCACGATGATCGGCTTCGCAGGTGGTCTGAAAGATGTGCAACGTTCGTTGTTTGATGTTTGGAAGGCGGTGTTCACCATTCCACCTGCCCGTATCCTGTCCGACCGTATGCAGCGTCGTTCTCAGCCCGGAAGACCGAAGCGTTATGCGAGCGGGTTTCGCAGCTCAAAGCAGTCTCGAGTGACCGCGGACAGTGAAAGCACCCTGGTAGCACGGTTTGTTTGATCCCAATTGTTGTTTTTAGTTAGGATTTTTTGCTCTCTCGCCCACTTCACCACACTTTTGGGTTAGAAAAAACGGGAACCGCAATCGTGCAAAATAAAACAAGCGCAAATTCATCTAGCTAGCCAGAATTGTGCTCATCATTCGCAAGATGCACTGGCACGACATATATATATATATATATATATATATATATATATATATATAAATGATGATCAAACTCGATCAACAATACTCATGTTGGAAATACTTTTCAGTTTCCAATGTCATACTTGTATATTGATGGCTAACGGTAAAGTGCATTTATTCCGTACTTTATCTCTCATTTCTATGTTATTAGTTCTCTTTCATCACCGTTTGAAATTGCGCGACCTT